GGAGGGCCGACGATTCGTTAAAATGCCAGGGCCGAACTTTGGTCCCAGTCCACCCCTGCCGGCTGCTGAAGGGCTTCTTCTTCAGTGGTGGAGGCTCAGGCAGGCTGTATACAAACTACTGCCAGCTGCGCCCTCTCTGCTGGACTTTGGTACTGCATGTTACTTCCACGTTTTAGATCTGGGGGCTTTTCATAAAACATTCGTGGCTTGAGCCCAAGTAGCCGGGCCTAACGCCGCCCCTGGTTGCATCCCTAGTATCTATCATGTAAGATTAATTTTAAACTTGGTTCCCCGTAGCTTTCTGAACAGCCTCTGTTCAGAGAAATAAAGTCTATATCCATCAGGGCCGCTGAGCTAACGGCTAGTCCGAACACAGTCAGGACCACAGTGTATTGTTGTCATCTTAAAACAGCTAATCAGTTAGTGTGATGTTTTCTATTTACATGCCTGTTTACGTAGAATTCACCAGCAGCAGCGAAGAGTAGCAGACCATCCCTGTGGTGGAGTGTGTCTTATGGGCCATTCCCATCTGTACCGGGTCGGCCCGGGCCGGGTAGCGTAGGTTGTTTACATATCTGGGTGGCCTGGTATTTTTCCGGGCCAACCAAGGCTCATTCTCAGCCCTCTTCTCGAGGGGGTCTGCTTCAGGCCGACCAGGGCCAACACACCCACTGCTGGCAGCAAATTCACACCTTCCATTAGAGCAAGCCTCTGATTGGTGGGTAGAATCAGCCCACGTGGGCTTAAGGCAAGGATGTGTGGAATCAACCGGGCCAGGCTGGGGCTGACTGGGGCTACCCGGCCCGGGCCGACCCGGTACAGATGGGAATGGCCCAAGTATTACTACTAGACGGTACCACTTCCCCAGGGTCCTCTAGTTTCCTCCCACTCACCAAAAACACACCTGTCAGGTGCTGCTGGCTTGAAACAGCGTCAATCTCCATCTCACCTCATCGTATTCAAAGATTATTTTATAAATGTTCGCCTTCATCTTTGCATCAAGGAGTCATTTGACAGCTTTAGTTATAAAAAGAGACTTGAACCCACCACGCCCCAGAAGAGCTACATGACAACAGTTACACTTGTTAGAAACCACAGACGTCTGTGGAAAAACTGCGTGACGTGTTAGCAGCAGATCGACAGTGAAAAACACGATTGTGGGAACGTCTGTTAGAAAGCATTTTGGACTGAGTTAGCTTCTGTGAAACTCTGACTCAACTTACATTTCTGAAGCACATCGAACGCCTAAAACATTCAAATATTTTGTTACAGACGATAGATTTTAAAAGTTGTGCTAAAACATCTAATGCACTCTGGCGCCACACATCCCTTAGGGTTGTCAGTAACTGGATATGTAACTGATACCATATTCCTTTAGCTGTACGTTAGCATTTAGCATCTAACGTTTCTGTTCAAACAGAATTGGAAAGTGTTCAGAAACGTTACACAGTCTGCTAGCGTACCTAGCTCAGGTCATGTTCCACCTAGGGCTGGGCGATATGACGATTTTAGACCGTTTTACGATCTACACATCTGACGGTCTGTCATTGTTGAGAGACCGTTTTATCACGATTCACAGCTCTGCTGTTGAATTTCTGCCTCTGAATGAAAAGGGAACTTACCTCAGGCGAATGACACGCCTTTGTTTGACCCTTAACCAATCAGAGTGAGTCATAGTAATATATTAGTGCCCCGCTTGTTTTCACCTGTGTGTGACATGGCTTCGGCCGCGGCTGAGCGACAACGAGGTTTTCGTTCCAAAGAGGAACGCAGGGTTTCCTTAGCGCGCGGCGCTAACAACTTAGCGACGTGACATGTTTCGGAGAAAGCGTAAAAACACGTTGGACGCTTCTTCTGAAGCAGGAAAATAACACTTCTTCTTAAGCAGAGCACGACGCCGTCTCGGCTCGTCCACCCTCTGCCGAGCCGGTGTCGGTACCGGACTGAGCTCGGTCGCTGGAGCTGCCCCGTGACTGCCTGATGGAAAACCAGCGGGTTTCATCAGACTCATAGTTTCTTGTTTTTGCTGGGGACCCCCTGTATTTATCGCTCCCTCCTGCAGTCTTCCCCTATTAACATTTAAAATGATTCTGTAAACTCGTGTATCAATAGAAACAATCTCTGCCAGCTGCAGTAAATGTAGTCTCCAAATAATAAGAGGTGCACTCATCTGTGTGTCTCCTTTGATCCGCATTAGTGATATTCTCAGCACCAGAACAGTGAAGCAAAGAAAGATTCCTGAGTTTGTTAGTAATTTTATTTATGAGGTGCATCTAACCTGTTCTATTTTTCTCTGAAATGAGATCAAATCAGTGCTTCTATGGGTTGTCTCCAATCTGCACTGGAAATTTTTACTTTATTTAGAGACTTGTTGCAGAAAATATTCAGAATGCGCAGTTATTTGCTACCACAAGCGATCTCTGGTCCAGCCGCACATCAGAGCCGTATTTGAGCTTAACTATCCACTACATGAGCAACTGGGAGCTACATAGTATTTTGAACAAGTTCATGTTTGCACAATACGTTTGCAACTGACATGTTTGCACTTTAAATATGTTTACGATTTTAATTTATGTTAAGTTACTTGAAAAACGAGAAAATCTGATGTTTGTAATTGTTTCTCTCAGGGCTTTTATCATCTCTGGTGTGAGTTTAAAATATAAGTGTGTTAGCACTGTGTTGATTATCCCTAATATGAATAAATGTTTATTTATTCAATGTTTCTCTTCTTTAATACGCAATTGTAGTTATGCTATTCATGGATAAAAAAATCGTGATAAAATCAAAATCGTGATAAAATATTGGAAAAATCGTGATATTCTATTTTTGCCATATCGCCCAGCCCTAGTTCCACCTAGACTGAACTTCCACTCAGACATCCAAATCCAAACCTTCCATATGTAGCTACATTCTAACACTTTAGCAGAAGATAACACCCACTGGACACTTCTCGAGTTTGACATTCCTGCTGACAAAAGAAAGGAGAAACAAAGGTTTTGCAACCGACCGAGCTCCCCATTAGCCTAAACCAAGCACATCTACAGACGGACTCTGGTTGGTGTTGGAGCGCAGCTTCATTGTGTCTCTGATCAAACCAGCCCAAACTAAAACCACAGCAGACTACAGGAATGTCTCCTTTTCAGTTTACTAGAATGCTGTTGAATGCTCAGATTCATTAAAATGTGAAATTATTTTATACTGCCTGCAATGTCGCTTTAAATAGAATGCGTATGATCAGCCTTTTTGTTTTTGTACTTAAGATAAAAAAAACTAAAACGATTTTCATTAAAGAGCTTTTGTCTACGAAACAAGTGACTTCTGTTGTGTTTTTTATCTATCTCCGTGTTTCCAAACACTTGTCCTCATGGAACACTGACCTGCATGTTTTCCATGTCTCTGCTTCAGCACACCTGATTTACATTGGCTCCTCAGGAGGACATCAAGTGCTGCAGCTGCCCGTTAATCACTCATTCATTTAAGTCAGGTGTGTGGCAGCAGGGACACACTAGTGTTTAAAGGGCAACATGGAAAACATGCAGGACGGTGTGCCTTGAGAACCAGGGTTGGGAAACACTGTTCTGTCAGTCTGTCCATTCAATTCTGTTTATTTCTAAAGCGCCAAATCACGACAAGAGTCGTCTCAAGGACCTTCACACAGTAAACATCCCAATACAGGTCAGTTTATTAAGCCAATCAGTAAGAAGTTTCCTATTTAAGGAACCCAGCAGGCTGCATCAAGTCACTGACTAGTGTCAGTGACTATACAGCAATCCTCATACTAAGCAAGCATGCAGCGACAGTGGAGAGGAAAACTCCCTTTTAACAGGAAGAAACCTCCAGAGAATCCTGGCTCAGTATAAGCAGCCATCCTCCACGACTCACTGGGGATGGAGAAAACAGAGCGAGCGAGCGAGCGGGTGGGCAGGCAGGCAGACAGACACACACTCACCAAGTAGTGTTTCTATGGTTACATTGTGATTTCTTAGTAAATATTCTATTTGGCAAGAGATAAACTTCATTGTTTTTATCCTAGTGGATCTATAATTAAATGGGTAAACTAGTAGTATCAATATCAAAGAAAGTAAAATGTTAATATCAGGAGAGGGATAATGTTAACTCATTAACTGCCAATGACGACTAAAGTCATCATTTGCATTATTTTACTGTGTGGGCGTCAGAACGAGCCCCTGCACCATGAGAACAAACATTCTGGCTCTAAAGCCGATCTTCATCCACGTATGTCACATGTCACATGATCAGGAAGCAGAAAATCCATGTGTCAGGAGATCGTTTTGGGCCACTGCTGTAAAAAAAAGTGAGGCGCAAACCGGAAAAGCTTCGGCCGATCACAGTTCGACAACGGATTGCGAAAGAATGGATAAAGCTCGAAACGTGTGGATTCTTCCTGATGTAAGAGGTGAGTCTCCTCTTAGTTTTGGCACTGACATCATCCTAGAGCTCAACGTTCTGTGACTCTTACAAAAACAGTAAAAACGCTGAAAAACACTGGCAGCGAAGGGCTTTACTGATCAGAAAACAGCTGGCAGTGAATGTTTAAGTGGTTAGCAGCAGTGTGCTAGACGATGGCCCCCTCCATGAGGCCACCACAGCTCAGCAGAACATCGTTGTAGCTTCTTCTGGGGAGAAAAACACTTAGAGAGAAAATAAAGTCAACAGCTGAAATTTCAGAAAATAATACAGTTAAAGAGCAGATTGTAGAAGAAAGTAGCAGAGTGTGGAAAGTGGTCAGTGTATCCTCCAGCAATCTAAGCCTATAGCAGCATAACTACAGAGATAACTCTGGATAATCTATCCTATTTAGATGGAGGCATGTTGGAGGCAGGGCAAGGGAGAGCCGTCTTTACCGACTGTACACTCCACCTCCCTCTACTCCCCCACTTGTCCAGATCTGGGCTAACATCAGATTTTAACCACAAGCCCTTGTCATGACTCGAGGTATGTGTTTAACCCGACATGCAGAAACTGACTCGTGGAACTGGTTGAATTAAGGTAAAAGTCTTTATTATAAGGAGAACAAAAAGAGCACAGGGAAGTCCTGTGGGGTAGATCGCTCGCTTGAGTTCATTCAGAGTTCAGGGAGAACGAAGGGGGGAAAAGGCGAGAGAGCCGAGGTGAGCTCTGATAAATCCAGGGATGATCCAGGATAGGTGAGGCAGCGGAGAGGGTCCAAACAGGTAACAGTGGAGGAGGATGAGACGTGGTGTGAATGGTCCAGGTTTTAAACAGCGAAGTGGCGGTAGGTAATGAGATTCTATACTGGTCTAATGAGCTTTGAAAGAAAAGCGTCTGGACTTCTTTGAGTTGCTTGAAGACGTTTCACCTCTCATCCGAGAGGCTTCTTCAGTTCTAAGGTCAAATGGTGGAGAGTCCCAGATTTAAACCCAGTGGGGGGTTTCCCCCGAAGAGGGAACAAAAGACCCCCTGATGATCTTCTATGAGCCAAGGTGTGGGGGTGGGGGTGGGTCCTATTCAGCCAGAGTTTCGGGTGAGCTCATTGTGAAACCTGGCCCCACCCTATCATGTGAATTCCTGAGGTCAGATGGCCCAGGATATGCGTGGGCGTTGAGGCATCTGGGAAGGGATCTCAAAACTGGATTATAGATGGCAGACAGTTGATGTCGTAAACCACCGCCTCTGTTCAAAGATGGTTGCTCATTCTATACTGGTGCAATCATCTGGCGTAGTGAAGTGTCTCCATCCTCCTTTTATACCCGAGTTCCTGATTGGGAATCTTCTGCAGCTGCAAACCCCTCCACTCCTCATCTGTGGAAAATCAGCCTGATAGTGGTGAGATGGGAGATGTTGTCACTCACCTCGGCTCAGGAACATGACAGCCTTATCAAATAAAAACGTTTTAAACCTAGTCTTAAAAGTAGACAAGGTGTCTGCCTTACGGACTAAAGCTGGGAGCTGGTTCCACAAGAGAGGAGCCTGATAGCTAAAAGATCTGCCTCTCATCCTATTTTTAGATATTCTGGGAACCACCAGTAAACCTGCAGTCTGAGAGCGAAGTGCTCGGTTAGGAACGTATGGAACAATCAGTTCACTGATGTATGATGGAGCTTGATTATTAAGAGCTTTATATGTGAGAAGAAGGATCTTAAAATCTATTCTGAATTTAACGGGTAGCCAATGTAGGGAAGCTAAGACAGGAGAGATATGATCTCTCTTTTTAATTCTCATCAGAACTCTAGCTGCAGCATTTTGGACAAGCTGAAGACTTTTAACTACATTCTGTGGACTTCCTGAGAGTAATGAATTACAGTAATCCAGTCTTGATGTAATAAATGCATGAACTAGTTTTTCAGCATCACTCCTGGAAAGTATGCTTCTAATCTTAGCAATATTCCGAAGGTGGAAAAAGGAAATCCTACAAACCTGTTTAACCTGGGATTTGAATGACATGTCCTGGTCAAAGATAACACCAAGGTTCCTTACTTTGTTCTCGGAGATTAGTGTAATGCCATTCAGGTCAGGTGATTGACTAAACAGTTTCCTTTTCAGAGGTTCTGTTAAATGATGAGAACTACAGTCTTGTCTTGATTTAAAAGCAGAAAGTTTAGTCATCCAATTTTTTATGTCTTCAAGAGAAGCCTGCCCACTTATGGTGGCCTAGTGTAACGTCCAGCAATGGTCAGTTTTTAGGTACACTTTGACCGTTCAACATCTGGTCAACATCTGGTCAAAAAGGAGACACAAGACTGCACGTGTTCCCTTTAAATTGGCCTGCCTTCATCCCATCAGCTGGAGCTCAGAGCCTGCAGCTCTGAACAGTTAACGAAATGTCAACAATAACTTTTTCTCCTCAAGGTCCAATCTTTGAGGATTCTTCATGCCTCCAGATAAGGATCACTCCAGCTCAGATCGGTTGCTAAGTCAATGAATGATTTCCTAAATTAAATATGAACTTCTACAACTTGTAAGCTAGATAATCATTAAATAAATGTTTGTTTATTGCTACTTATAAGAATTATAATATAATGAAATGTTTCATTGATCTGTGCTCAGTGATTGAAGTTTGAAATGACTGTTATGATTACAGTGATTGAAATATGTTTCAGCATGTTGATATGATGAGGTCATCACCATTTGCACTCACACAAGGACAAAGCAAGGTTAAGTTAAACTCATGACACATAAATAGTCTTTTACCCAGATCAGAGCATCCGGTATCAAAGAAGGCTTGTTTCTGAGGTTGTCTTGGCAGTATTCCTCAAACTTGTCAACCTCTGGTTGGCTACACAAATCATCACATGAGAACATCAAAACTGGATCACTCTGGTGATTCATCAGTTCTAGAGAAAGTTTCAGACCGGCCAGCTGAAGCAAAACCCTCTTTAACCATCAAAGATTTTGACACGTCGTCAAAACCTTTTTGCTCCTGCGAAGCTGATACCGCAACAGTTCCTGCAGAACGAGCTGATATTTTTCCCGACTCCTTAAGAGGCCCAGACGTGCGGTTCCATCCATCTGTAGTGACCCGAGACATCTCTGGACTGAAGCATCTGTGCCATGGTATTCTACAGCCCTCAGGTGCCAGAGGTCAGCCGACCTCTTTGATCTTCGGATCCACCAAGAGGGTCTCCGAAAACGAATGAAGTAGACACACAGATTGTGTCTGATGTGTTTTGGTAACAACCAACTTCACAGCTTAACGCAAACCAAAAATTCTTTTACATCCAGAACTCAGCTCTCCCAGGTAAGGAAGTTCTGACTAACACCGCATGCACACCTAGGTTCATACATCACCTTTAGTTCCATCCATCACAGTAAATGCTTAGTTATGTTTTAATTATTGGTAAAATAAATTCTTATATAAACCTGACTCTTCTGAATCAAAACGAAGTGTGTACAATCCCTTAATAAAGAATAAACGCAGTAAAGACCAAGCAGAGTTGAGATTCTATATTTAGAGTATCACAGCTTATTGGTCATAAGTAGAGGTAACATATTTATTGGGCTCTTAAAGCACTCAATTTCCTAAACCCTACTCTAGGTAGGGGAATCTTTTGGTCCCATGTTCGCTAGCTGCCGCTGATACAGAGGAAGAGCATTGTTATCTAGGCTACAAATTATTTCTAACATTCAATAATTTTTCCCCTAGAGACAACAGCATTGTCTAATGTGTACCAGATAGTATATATCAGTATCTTGTGCTCAATGTAGTCTATTTACTTTTACCTGTCAGAGGCTGTGTAGGGGTTCTCAAAACTTATTTATCTTTTATTCTGTTCATGGCTCTCAGTCACCATCATCAGAAGCCAAAATTTGATGGTGACAGAATCAGGATAAAGAGACAGAAGTAGTAAAAGCAGCTTCATTGTTGTTTTAGTTTTTGGGTCAAAAAGTGAAGGTGAATGGAAGAGGCGGCTGCATCATTGTTTGTGAATGTAGGAACCAAAAACAGACTTTCAAAAGTCGTCACTTTAATTCATGAATCAGAAAACTCAGAATTTAAATGATCGATCTGTTTTCTAAACAATGGTGACAAACAATCAGGTACTTTTTATATTTTTGTGTGAAGCTAAAAAAACTGGATTTGTCTCTTGCCACATGCAGGGTTTAAATTCTCCTCCAGCCTGCAGAAAACGTCTCAGGGATGGAGAATTTTCTAAAGATGGTCACAGTTTGTGTATTTGTGTTCAGACCTTTGATAGGAAAAACCAAGCAACAATTAAACATCTGGCACCTTTAATCATGTGCAGCTGCCCTACCACAGCCATGCCTCTCACAGCACTCAAGCTCTCCTCAGTCTCTCCCACAGTAACAGCCTGTCTGCAGCCATAGCCTCAGCCTTCTACTCATTTTTTTATTTCACGCTTGCCTCATCGCTGCCGATTGTTCCAAGAAATAAGCACTGACCACATTCAAAATCTATCTCCCGACTCTGGAAAACACGGGGAAATTCTTCCACAGACTTGATTAATGAGTGCTGTATAAAACGGCACTTCTGGTTACTGAACACCACATTTTACATCACAGAGCAGCTCTCTGCCTCTGAACAGATTAAATTATAAAGTACTTTGACAGAATAAAGGTGTTTGATGTTATTAATGCTACTGTGGCGCTGTTCAGTGACATCACTCACTGCTAAAGCAGTCACTGACATCTGTGCAAAGTGCTGAAAGGGCTGAAGTTGAATGGAGACACAACAGCTGAGAGGACCAGGACACTGTGTCTCCTGGTCAGTTCCCTCGCCCCAGAAATTACCCTGAAGTTCTGGCAATGGAAACACAGCTTTTGACAGCTGGGTTCTTCCTCTGTGTGGACTCGACACCCCCACCACCCCCCACCCATCAGCCTCCATTATAAACTGTGTCTGGGTCCTGCCAAAGTCCTCAGATCTTTTCCCGCCCGTGTTTAACTGACGTTTTTAGCCATGTTTTTGCTAAATGAGCTAGGACTGCTCTGAGTTTATTAATCACAAGCTTATCTGTATTAATTACAAAAGCAAGTCAGACGATGACAATCTGACACAGGGAGGTCAAAAATCAGTAGCGAGAAGATGAGAGCAGAGTGATGGCAGATGACACCGTTTCCTCAGCCTCCTCCTCACATGCTCCTCTTGCCTTCATCCCTCCAGAGATGAAATATTCATGGGAGCCCTTTATTGTATATGCTTATCATCTCACTGGTTTCCTGCTTTGCTGCTTCCACTGCGGCTCTCACTGTGACAACAACCACCAGACAGGCCCACAGCGCCGGTGTCAACCCCAACCTGAGCGCCACGCTGCCTTTAAATACGCCCTGGTGATCTTTAAGTAAACAATCTCCGATCACCTTCCTGTCTCTCACCCAAGCAGGAGAAAGAAGCAGAGCTAACTTGTGAAACTGAGAGGACGCGTGCTTCCTAAAAAAATGATTTTTTTATTAATGCTATAAGTTCAGAAAACAGTTTTTTCCCCAGGAAGAGCAGAAAGAGAAACATGTTTTAACTTTGTTAGATAAATTCAGACACTACACCTCAGCTGGGCTGCTTGCCTCCTCCTCCCTAACAAAGACTGCAGCTAAACATTATTGACTTGAACTTTGATCCACCGCTAATCTCTCGCACATTTCTAAATATGTTCAAATGTTTTTCTTATGTTTGTGTTGTTTTAAAGTCACGTGTTGATGGATTGCCCCAAGCACCAGACTGACCTGGCAATCACCCCCATTCTGATTCTGTACAGGAAGTGGAGGCTGATTCCTCTGAGCCACAGCTCCCCCTAGTGGATCTTCTTCAAACAGCTGCTTAGTGCAGGAGTTTCATTCAGCAGTGAAACAATCAGCCAAACGAGTTTCTACAACATGAAAAACCCAACGTCCAGGTTTAGCTGCAGAGTTACGACATGATATCCTTAACAACACTCAAAACTATCCTACAGTAACATTTACTTTTATATTTATAATTGATACATTACTAATCTAACATGCTGCAGAGTCATGAAAACTCACCAGAAACGTTCTTGGGTCTGATTTTAATACATTTGCAAGAACCTTGCATTTAAAATAATGAAATGTTATTTTAAAATAAACACAGAAACATCTGCTGGTCAGTGATACTTAACCTTAGATTGATAAATGATCCGTACCGTCTTTTATTTATTTTTCTCAGAAGGAGCTCAGGATGTGCTGAAGAGGAAGCAGATAGAGGAGGAAGAGCAGAGGCCCCAGCACAGAACCTTGTGGGACACCATGGGTTGGGATGTTATGTTCATCAAGAGCAGCTGTGAGTTGTTTAGCCACAACCTTTTCCAAGATCTTGGAGATGAACGGAAGTTTAGAGATGGGTCTGAAGCTGCTATGGAGAGAGGGGTCGAGACTCGGTTTTTTAAGAAGCGGGTGGATTACAGCGTTCTTAAAGTAAGCAGGGACCTGACCAGAGACCAGAGAAGCATTAATTATAGAGAGCACGCTGGGACCGATGGACTGAAAAGCACTTTTAAACAAAGATGAGGGTAAGATGTGGAGGGGGCATGCAGAGGTCTTCATAGAGTTAACTAGTTTGGTTAACTCAGGCAAAGAAACAGGAGCAAAGCTATCTAGGATGATGGGCCTGGTTGGAGTCGGGAGAGGCGGCGATAAGGCTGAAGGAGAGATGCTAGATCTAACCTTATTGACTTTGTCCACAAAGAAAGACAGAAAGTTCTCACAGTCTGTAACAGAGTGGATGGAGGCTGTAGGAGAGGCAGGAGAGACGATGCTGCTGATGGTGTTAAACAGCACCTTGGGGTTCCCTTTGCTCTGGGACACCAGGTTGGAGAAATAGGAAACCCTCGCGTCTCTGACTGCAGAGTTATAGGATGTCAGAAGATCCTTTAGGTGCAGCAGATGGACGTGGAGATGGGTTTTCTTCCACAAATGCTCAATTTTTCTGCATTGGCGCTTCAGGCTGCGAAGGTTGTCATTAAACCAGGGAGAAGGGTTCACTGCAGGAACTGATCTGGTTCTGACAGGGGTCTGGGGTGGTGGGTTGCTTTGCTCAGCGTTGGGCGGGGGGAGCCTGCTCATCAGCACCCCAGCAGAAAGGGTCGAACTCTGGGAACTGGTAATGGTTGTACCCCATGTGCAGCAGTACCGGGACCAGAGTGAATAGGGTGTGGATGGGGAGCATGAGTGGGTGTCCGGTGTGCATTTTTTGCACAAGTGGAAGTCTTTGGTTGTATGTGTGTGTGTGAGCATGAGGGAGGGTGTGTGTGACTGTGTCTATGTATGACTGTATATGTCAGGTGGTGCCTTTTACGCCTCCCATCTCCTGGGACTTCTTTTGATGCAGCACATCTTTGTCTCCCTTCCCCCTGCCACACCCGGTGTGGAGTGTGGTGCCTTGGGCTGCCTGAGTGTTCGTGGTTCCCGGGTCAGGGGGTTTAAGATTTTTGGCGTCTGCCTGATCAATCCCGGTGGCTGCCTGGTGGGATCTGGGTCCCTGGGCTCTGCTGGGTCCCCAGCGGGGGTGGTCGCCCCTGGGTGCTGGGTTGCTGGGTCACGGGCTCGGCCGGCTAGGGGGTGGGAGGCTGCGGGCGGGCCTGTGGGCTTGCCGCTGATATCTCCCGGGACTCTGCCGGCTGCTGGTTGTGGCCCCCCGAGGCGATCCTCTGCGCCTCTCAAGGGGGGGCAGGGGCTTTTCTGGTTGCGGTCTCCTTGGTGTCCCTGTGCTCTGGGGCCGACTCCTTTCTTCTGCAATCTGCTCTTTAACTGTATTATTTCCTGCTATTTCAGCTGTTAACTTTATTTTCTCTCTGAGTGTTTTTCTCCCCAGAAGAAGCTACAACGATGTTCTGCTGAGCTGTGGTGGCCTCATGGAGGGGGCCATCGACTAGCACACTGCTGCTAACCACTAAAACATTCTCCCTCTCCTGATAATAACTTTTTACTCTCTTTGACGTTGGATGTGCTACTACTAGTTTACCCGTTTAATTATAGATTCACTAGGATAAATACAATAAAGTTTATTTCTCACTAAATAGAATATTTACTAAGAAATCACAATGTAAACATAGAAACACTGTCAAGTCCTGCACTGTTTTGTGCTTCCCCACTTGAGAGGGATAAACATCCACCACGGAGTTTAGAAACTGGATTTCACTCAGAGACCGAAACAATGCTTCACTTTTTGCTTTTATGTTTATTTCAGCATGTCAGCTCAGGTCAGCATGACGGTTCAGGTCAGGTGAAAAACCTTCAGTCAAGCAGACATATAACCTTAAATTAGATTTACAGGGTTTACATAATTACCTTTAGCATTACTTTTTAAACAATAGTTTTAAACATCAAATAGTTCCCTTATAAAAATATAAGCTATTTATCTTTTATAATTCATCTTCCATTGAAACTAATCACAGAACCCAAAATGAACAAACAACTTGCTGAAACATTTTCAAATAAGTAATTCTTTTACTAACTGGCAAATAACCACAAACAAAGATTATACCATCCAAATCGACAGTCTCAATTGTTTGGGCCACGCCTAGGCAAGCAAACAAACAAACAAACAATCAGGTCAGGTTTCTTGTTTAACCGCTTAACCAGCAGCAGAGTCCATACACAACCAGCAATATATTATATATTTATCTTACCGGCTGCCTCTCTGGTGTTGGTGGATGTATTTAGTTCTGAAGTCACTGAACGGCTGACTCAGAACACCATGCTCTCTGGTGAAATCACACCTCAGAGGTGTACCACCTTTATTGTCCCCGTGGAACTCCTTCTGCTGAACATGGTTCCTAGTCTGAAAAAAGTCCAAGCCTGACTTTACAAACACTACTTGGTGTGTGTGTGTGTGTGTGTGTGTGTGTGTGTGTGTGTGTGTGTGTGTGTGTGTGTGTGTGTGTGTGTGTGTGTGTGTGTGTGTGTGTGTGTGTGTGTGTGTGTGTGTGTGTGTGTGTGTGTGTGTGTGTCCAATAACATTAGATTGCCGCTTATACTGAGCCAGAATTCTCTGGAGGTTTCTTCCTGTTAAAAGGGAGTTTTCCTCTCCACTGTCGCTGCATGCTTGCTTAGTATGAGGATTGCTGTAAAGACTCTGACACTAGTCAGTGACTCGATGCAACCTGCTGGGTTCCTTATATAGGAAACTTTTTACCGCTTGGCTTAATGGACTGACCTCTATAGGAATATTGATTATGTGAAGTGCCTCGAGACAACTCTGGTCGTGATTTGGTGCTTTATAAATAAACTTGAATTGAATTTAACTGAAATTGAATTGGTAAATTGTGAATCATTTAGTAGATTAGTGAAAGTCTTAACAAGGCAACTTTCTTCAGTGACGTGCTGTGAGTTTGGATTATCATGTTAGCAACAAGTTTTTCAGTACTACAGGTTTGTCAACAGTAGGCTACGTTCGGTCACCCCTGAAATAAAACATTTTATAATTAGAGCAGATTAAAGATGCAGGACGTGGAAAAATTAGCTGGAATAAACTTTTCTACAGTAGAAACTTAGGGAACCAATTCAGCTTTTTACAAAACAAGTAACAAATGAATAAAATAAAACGGGAAGATTTAATGAATAAAATTTAGCCAAAGTATTGAGAAAAAAAATCGAATTTAAAAATGGTGGCCATGCTTGCGACCCTCTAAACTACCTCACCATGCATTTGGCACAATATGCAGTTATGATGTGGACATGAGCCACCAGGGAGCTGCAGGTAATGTATAAGTGAGCCCCGGTGGTGTGTGCGCATGTGCTATAAGCCAGTTTGATATTACATTCTTGAAAACAGAACCACCTGTTGCAATATACAAAATAAATCATTACCAGAAAATACATATGAAAAAATATTTTTCTTTTTGATTAATTAGATAATGAAATAATGCAAGTAACTTGTGGCTATCAGCTTGTATAAACACACATGTTATATAAGGTAAGCAACTATAACATTTGAGTTTTACTGTTTAATATTAAATACATGGTACTATTCCATAAGATGCTTCCAGCCAGTGAACGGGACATTACAGCGTGGAAAGCCACGGAGTTGCAAAAGTCTGCAACAAAACGCAGCGCATGTGGTACTCAGAACATTTTAACAAGGTTGGCAGGTCCGCAGCGGCCAGAAAGCACATTTGGCACGGACTGAAACCTTAAACAGCTCTATTCTCACCTTTTGTACCTGAATAACACTTGTCTGTAACACCAAATGACTCAGAGAGATGCCTTTTTTTTATGTTAGCAGCTCTCTCCTCTCCTAAGTGCCTATGTCTATGACCAGTTGGAGCGCTAGCAGGGCAGGGACAAGCCTGTCCATCTTCATGAAACTCTGTAAGGCCCAGCTCTTCAGAGAGCACCTCCAAACTTCCACCTCACACTCCTTGTGCACTCCCCTCTACAGGTATTTAAAATAATTCCACTGAAAAGGTGAAACTAATAAATGAGACGGACTCATTACATGCAAAGCCAAATGTTTCAAGCCTTTATTTGTTATAATTGTGATGATTATGACTTACAGCTTATGAAAGCCCCCAAAATCAAGATCAATTTTCTGAAAAGGTTTGATGTTCTACACTCAGTGGTGTTTATTGTGAGACCAAGCCCCCTCAATGGGGGTCAAAAATTGAAGCAAACCCGGAAGTGAAATAAATTGCAGTTCCTCCCTCATCCACTAGGGGCTGGTGTCAGAAGCGAGCAAATCCTCATTGACTCCCATGTTAAAAATACCAATTTCACAGCAGAAATAAACATGTTTACAGCCTGGTACCAGAACATGTTTTTGGTTTAAATGATCTAGTTTACACTCATGACAACTCTGAGGGGGGTGCATTTTTTCCTCACTCTTCTGTTTAAGTGTATTAAAAGCCTAAAATTCTGTATAATTAATGAGCATCAGACCCACGTGACCGCAGAGCTAGCTCCGTGGAAAGGCCTCAGTACAGCCTCTGTCTCGCCTGAAACCTGTTCCGCGATTTTTAGTCTCTGAACTTAGACTAGTAGTTGTAGCGTTTGTGTATTCTTTTTTGGATATTATTTGTGCAATTGTTGGACAAAATGACTTGTTGTGGCATTAATTGCACTAATGGAGCATTCAAAGAGTCTCCACTTCATTTTTTCCGGTAAGTAAAATTATATTTATGTATTTTAGGTCACTGCCGCTTTTTCACTAGCTGAGCTTATCAAAGAACTACCATTTTAATATGTACTGTTTAACCATGAAATTTAGATATAATATACGGTAAAATAATTAATAGGTTATATGTTGATGGGTAAAACCATGGTTAAACCCAGTGCATTTAACATAAAAATGGGTTGAAATATGACGGAGCTCTCGGAGGGACACTTCCGCTTCCGGTCGGTAACAAGATGGCGCCTGTGCTTGGCTTAGCTGCAGTCACCGGCCACTTTTTCAAACTTTTCTCCACTAACCTCCTCTTTTCCACCTTGCTCCTGTCTGCGATCCTCTTCAGTAGTGTCCCTGCTACCATCTCCTATGATCACCAGACTCTTTCGTCTGTCTCTTTTGTCCCCAGAGCCAAACGACGGTCCCGATCTGCGCGCCTCCAGCGTTGTTTGTCCGGTCCCTGGAAAACGTCGGAGGAAAAGAGGTAAACGAACAGGAATCCAGGTGAGAATAAGACTTCTCTTTAAGCGTGGTTTATCTAGTAAACATCGGGGCGATCTTCTAGCTTCTCTTCTTTTGTTTGGTGGCTCGAGCGCCACTTCCGCATTCCCGCCAGGCCGCGTTGCGGCGCGGTTCGTCCATCCAAGTTTTTTAAGGTCAGTTTCTCCTCATTCCTCAGTGGTTTCTCCTCCTGTTCCCTCCATAAGTGGTTGTTATAAACCCCGTGGATCTAACCCTGCTAATTTACGTCCACTAACTCCAGCTGTTTCTGTAGTTTCTGATTCCTCCACCACACTCAGCATGGCTCTATTAAATACCCGCACTGTTAACAATAAGTCCTTCCTGCTCAATGATCTAATTCTCTCTAAAAACCTGGATTTTCTGTTTGACTGAAGTTTGGCAGCAAACATCTGATTATTCTGGTTTGATTGAACTCTGCCCGAGTGGTTATTCTTTTCTTAGCCAGCCCCGGGGTTCTGGTCGTGGGGGAGGCTAGCTGTTGTTTTCAGAGACCATCTTCCATGTAGCTCTACAACCTCTGGTCACTTTGCTTCCTTTGAACTGCTGCTGATTAAAGTCGGGCGTAAGGACCCGTTCTACTGTGCTGTGGTCTATCGTCCACCTGGTCCAAACAGTTCTTTCCTTCAGGAGTTTAGTGACTTTCTATCCTCCACTGTGAAGCTGTCCAGACTGGTGATTGCTGGTGACTTTAACATCCACGTTGATGATCCCTCTGATCACTTTGCCATGAATTTCTCCAGCCTTATGGACTCCTTCAGCTTTACCCTGCATGTTTCTGGCCCCACACACACCAGGGGGCACACTCTAGACCTTGTTTTTACCCTGAGTCTAAATGCTGACAGTGTTTGTCCTGAGTACGTTTATATTTCAGATCACCATTGCTTTTTCTTTAACTTGTCAGTTTCTGCGTCCCCACCTCCTGCTCGCCGTATGGTTAGTTCTCATTTTCTTAATGAGAGCACAGCTAGCAATTTTTCAGCTGCTTTTGATCCACCCTGTTCTTCTGATAACGACCCAGATTCCTTAACTTCTCAGTTTAAGGAGCACTGCCTCTCCATTCTGGACAACATCTGTCCTGTCAGAACCAGATCAGTTCCTGCAGTGAACCCTACTCCCTGGTTTAATGACAACCTTCGCAGCTTGAAGCGCCAATGCAGAAAAATTGAGCGCTTGTGGAAGAAAACCCATCTCCACGTCCATCTGCCGCACCTAAAGGATCTTCTGTCATCCTTTAACTCTGCAGTCAGAGACGCCAGGGTTTCCTATTTCTCCAACCTGGTGTCCCAGAGCAAAGGGAACCCCAAGGTGCTGTTTAACACCATCAGCAGCATCGTCTCTCCTGCCTCTCCTACAGCCTCCATCCACTCTGTTACAGACTGTGAGAACTTTCTGTCTTTCTTTGTGGACAAAGTCAGTAAGGTTAGATCTAGCATCTCTCCTTCAGCCTTATCGCCGCCTCTCCCGACTCCAACCAGGCCCATCATCCTAGATAGCTTTGCTCCTGTTTCTTTGCCTGAGTTAACCAAACTAGTTAACTCTATGAAGACCTCTGCATGCCCCCTCCACATCTTACCCTCATCTTTGTTTAAAAGTGCTTTTCAGTCCATCGGTCCCAGCGTTCTCTCTATAATTAATGCTTCTCTGGTCTCTGGTCAGGTCCCTGCTTACTTTAAGAACGCTGTAATCCACAGCTTCTTAAAAAACCGAGTCTCGACCCCTCTCTCCATAGCAGCTTCAGACCCATCTCTAAACTTCTGTTCATCTCCAAGATCTTGGAAAAGGTTGTGGCTAAACAACTCACAGCTGCTCTTGATGAACATAACATCTATGATAGCTTCCAGCCAGGTTTTCGTAGAGCTCATTCTACTGAAACAGCTCTTCTTAGGGTCTCTAATGACCTTCTGACTCACAGTGATGCAGGGGACTGTTCTGTTCTGGTCCTGCTGGACCTGACTGCAGCCTTTGACACTGTTGACCATCACCTGCTACTGGAGAGGCTGAGAGACTGGGTAGGCCTATCAGGAACTGCTCTGGAGTAGTTCTCCTCTTATCTCTCTGAGCGCTCCTTTTCTGTGGCCGTCTCCAAGTTTAGGTTCTCCACCACCTCCCTTACCCATGGTGTCCCTCAAGGTTCTGTGCTGGGGCCTCTGCTCTTCCTCCTCTATCTGCTTCCTCTTCAGCACATCCTGAGCTCCTTCAAAGGAATCTCCTACCATCTTTATGCAGATGACATCCAACTGTACATCTCCTTTAAGCCCCATGGGATGTCTAAGCTGCAGCTGTTACAC